GTGCCCCCTTTGGAGAACTTGAGTGAGAAGACGGTGGGTGTGTTCGTTTACCGCACCATCGAGGACCTCGAGGGCATGATTTTATTCGCCAAGAAGTCTCGCAAGGCAGCGGTGATCGGGGGCGGGCTCCTGGGGCTGGAAGCAGCGAAAGCCGTCTACGACCTGAACCAGGAGACACACGTGCTGGAGATGGCCCCGTACCTGATGCCTGCACAGCTGGATGCTCCTGGCGGCAAGGTCTTGGGCGAGAAGATCAAAGACATGGACATCCGTGTCCACACCAGTGCGCGCTTGAGCAAGGTGGTGGTCGAGGACGGCGTGCTGAAGGGTATCCGCCTCACCGACGCAGACAACGCCGAGGAGTACCTCCTGGAGTTCGACATGTTGGTGGTGAGCGCCGGCATTCGCCCGCGTGACGAGTTGGCGCGGTCGAGTGGGTTGTCGGTTGGCCAGCGCGGAGGGGTTGTGGTGAATGATCGCATGCAAACCAGTGACCCCAAGATCTTTGCGCTGGGCGAGGTGGCCTGTCACAAGAACCTCTGCTACGGGCTCATTGCCCCTGGCTGGGACCAGGCCTCCGTTTTGGCTAAGAACTTCGAGCATGCGACATGGGAGATGAAGTCCAAGGACAAGGAGGAAGCTGAGCCACCGCTCTACACGGGCAGCGATCTCTCCACGAAGCTGAAGCTCTTGGGCGTTGACGTGGCGTCCTTTGGTAGCTCCCTGGATTTCTGGTTCAAGAGACAGTGCCATGACAAGGAAGCCAAAGAGCAGGGCTTGAGCTCCACGGTGCAGTTGGATCCTTTCAGCGGCTTGTACCGAAAGCTCGTCTTCCATGAGCAGACTCAGAAGCTCATGGGGGGCCTCTTGGTTGGCAACGCGGACGATTATTTCAGCTTGCTGGGCCTCGCGAAGCAGGATGACTTGGGCAAGAAGGCCCCAGTGGATCTCTTCCTAGGCGGCAACTCGGAGGAGAGCGTAGATGACTTGAAGGACGACGCGATCGTCTGCCTGTGCCAAAAGGTCACCAAAAAGGACATCGTCGATGCCGTCAAGGAACAGGATTGCATGACGATTCCTGACATCAAGCGATGCACCACTGCGGGAGCTGGCTGCGGTGGCTGTGTACTTGCCACTGGCTTCGTGCCCAAGATCTTGAAGACCACGCTTGAGGCCTGTGGCAAGAAGGCCTTCACAGGAATCAGCCCGAACTTCCCCTTCACGCGCAAGGAGCTCTTTGACATCATCAAGACCAAGGAGCTGAAGACCTGGGAGGAGGTCGTAGAGACCTGCGCGCGGGTTGGCAAGATTGCTGATCTGAAGAAGGGCCTGGGAGGAGACGAGGTTTGCAAGCCCGTGGTAGCCTCAATTTTGGCATCCCTCTGGCAGGAGAACCCGGTGAAGGATGGCCTGAACATGTTGCAGGACACCAACGATCGGTTCTTAGCCAACATCCAGCGCTCGGGCCAGTACTCGGTGATCCCACGCGTCCCTGGGGGTGAGCTGACGCCCGACGAGCTCATCTTGATGGGCACCGTGGCCAAGAAGTACAACCTCTGGACCAAGGTCACAGGAGCCCATAGTCTAAAAGTCTTTAAAGCGGTTTATGTAAAGGAGTATTGCAGGGGTTATTATATGGGATATTAGGACTTTAGACTATATATGGCTTGCAGGAGCCCAGCGCATTGGCCTCTTCGGTGCTAACGTTTGGCAGCTGCCAGACATCTGGGAGGAGCTGTGCTATGGAAAGAGTGCTTACGCGTCCGCAGATGGCAAGGTCCTGACCAAGGTGGACACGGATGGCATGGAATCCGGACACGCCTACGGCAAGGCTTTGCGAGCAGTGAAGAGCTGCGTCGGGACCAGCTGGTGTCGCTTCGGTGTGCAGGACTCTGTCGGCATGGCCAACCGCATCGAGCAGCGCTACAAGGGCTTCCGCGCTCCGCACAAGTGGAAGATGGGCGTCTCGGGCTGCATGCGCGAGTGTGCCGAGGCCCAGGGCAAGGACATCGGCCTGGTCGCCACCACCAACGGCTGGAATCTCTACATCTGCGGCAACCACGGCACCTCGCCGAAGCACGCCACGCTCTTCATGACGGACATCTCCGACGAAGAGGCCATCAAGTACATCGACCGCGTGATGATGTACTACACCTTTACGGCCGACCCACTGACAAGGACCTCCAAGTGGCTGGAGAACCTGGAGGGCGGCATCGAGTTCCTTAGAGAGGTCGTCGTCGACGACAAGCTGGGCGTGCCAGCCGCGTTTGAGTCCACAACTTTTCTT